CCACGTCTGAAAGCAGGTTTCTGGCCTTTGTTTACCCTTCTGTATTTGAAACAATGTTGTGGTCCTGCTGGCCGAAGCCCGGGGGTTTTGTTTAGCTTCTATTTTTGTAATATAGTTGCTTAGAGTGCAGCTGCAAGGCCGGCAAGGCAGGTGGGGAAGCTTGGCTTCCTCTGTCACTTAAGCAAGCAAGCCTAATGTTAGCTTCCAGCTGCCTGGCTGCTGGCTGCCATCTTGGCTCTCAATTTGCATATTGCCCCGATTAGCCAATGGGAAGGGTAGTGGTCGTACGCTAATTACCATGTTTCTCTTTTATTAGATAGGATTAAACTATATACAGCTATCAATCATTTTCAGTACAAATTAAGACCAAATTAAAAAAGATTAGATAAAAAATTTCAGAAATGCTCTTCATTATTCTCCAGAAGAAAATACTATAATGTAAATACATAGCAGCTACTCTATTTAATACTACAGTAGTCTAAAAACTCAATGTGAATATTAGAAAATCAGATACTGCAAATCTTAATAAAGACTCGGTAATATAATTAAGTGGTTATAATTTGCTGTATCTGCTATAGGCAAATCATTTTTTTTGGGGGTGGGGGTGGGAGTCTAACTTCTAGTTCCAAATCATTCTCCTATGTATATATTAAAATACTAAAATTTAAAAACGGAGTTATCAAAGATTGTAAAACAAATTTATTTAAGGCCAAGGTCAGAATTTAGATATGAATTTAGGTCTCCTGTATCATGGTCCTAGATCAGCCGTGGGCAAACTATGGCCCGCGGGCTGGATCCGGCCCGTTTGAAATGAATAAAACTAAAAAAAAAAAACACCGTACCCTTTTATGTAATGATGTTTACTTTGAATTTATATTAGTTCACACAAACACTCCATCCATGCTTTTGTTCCGGCCCTCCGGTCCAGTTTAAGAATCCATTGTGGCTCTCGAGTCAAAAAGTTTGCCTACCCCTGTCCTAGATGCTCTATACATCTGACCAAAAGTACCATAATATAACACCAAGTACAACTGCTGTATTTCACACCAGTGCCAACAAGCAAGAACTCAAAATGAGAATTTAAAAAAGTATACAAGCAGTAGTAAAGAATACAAATTCAGTACTTACAGGTGGATGGGAACCACTGTACCATAAGAGGACCAAAGAGTTATGTCACACAGCAGACAGCCTTTAATAATTAATTTCCCATTCCATGGGGAGATGAGAACTTTAAGAAATGAGGGTAAGAAAAAAGCAAATTATTTTACTTATGAACAAAACATTTACTTAAAAAAACCTAAAAGAACCAATTAAATAATTCCTTACCATTTTCACTGAGCTCAAGTCTAGCAGGGGGAGGAAAAAAAAAAGCAATTTTATAAGAGCCAAGGAAACAAATACAGTAAAACAAAATATGTACAGAATTACTTACAAGCTTTTATGAGCTGGTGCCGCCATCTTTTTAGGTTCCTTGTACTGAAAAGCTACAATTACGTAAGGATGAATCTGTCTAGGTCGCTCAGTAACAGTGGCACCTGAAAGCTCATACAAATAATACTAAAAGAAAAAGAATTATAATCAGGGTAACACTATAGAATTCTGTATGCACCAAGTTGATCTCAACCCACCCAGTACTGAAACTTAAGACATTAGAGGCAGAAATGTATCTTAGAAATGATTTATACCTGACTCAGTTCAAAGGCGCGAAAATGACTCGTCTTGTGAGAAACCTTGTTAGTATTTGCAGCCACATGGCAATCATAGCCAGAAGATGGGCTAATATAGTTAGTTGTATAATTCTCAGACACAAACTTGACTTTTCCCTAGAATAAAAATATTAAGACTAATCAGATGTTTTCAAATAGCAGTAATTTTATTCTAGGATTCATTTATAGGTAGCTTAATAAAGATTTCTATGTATTTCAACTGTTAACTGTGTTAAGAATTAGAAGTATGGTTCTTAGAAAATAATCTTTAAAGCCAACAATAGTTTTAATTATCCATGAACCCCTTAAAATTGCATTTAAAAATCAGGTATGTTTGGGCATCTTTCTGAGGCAGAAGTCCGTTTATTTTATCACAATACCAAAGGAATACAAATTTAAGAGAACCATCCCCCCCACCCCCCTGATTTTTTTTGTTAATCCTCACCAAAGGATATTTTTTCCATTGATTTTTTTTAGACAGAGAGGAAGAGAGGGAGAAAGAGGGAGAGAGAAGGGAGGAGGGAGAGAGGAAGAGAGGGAGAGAGGGAGAGAGAAAGAGTGAGAGAGCGAGAGAGTGTGAGAGAGAAACATTGATGTGAGAGGAACACATAGATCAACTGGTTGACCCCTGGGCTGGGGACCAAGCCTTCAACCAAGATATGTGCCCTTGACTTGAATCAAACTCAGACCCTTTGGTTCTTGGCTGACTCTCTACCACTGAGCCAAACTGGCTAGGGCAAGAGAACCATTTTTTAAAAATAAAAATTATATAGCTTACAAAATAGATTGATTATTCAATGACTATACCATAAAAGATGACAAATGAAATCTAAAATTTCAAAAGATGAGTTTTCAAACTGAGTATTAAGTTATCAATTGTAAATTACAGACCATGATATATCTATTACACCAGGACCCAGAAATTCACCAAGTAGCAAATATATACTAAGTGCTTAGCAGACCACTGGCCCGGACTAGTCAATAGTATTTCCCATTATAGACTTGTCTTCATCAAGGTTACATGTCTTCCAGAAAAAGAAGAAAAAAAGCAGTCAAGGTTTTTTTATTTCATATCATGAAATAGCATGATTTTAAAAGCTGTTTTAACAACATGATGATATAGATAGGAAAAATAAAAATATACGAAATATATACCAAAATGAGGATGAGATTACAAATTTTATTTTTGTTTTTACAAGAAGAATTTAATTATTTAAAAGATGTTTTGTTTTGCTTTTGCTGTTAAGATCCTGCCTCTTTATTTATAGGACCACGAAAGGCAATTCTCTGGTCAGAGAAGCCAAAGAATGTAAACAGTAAGGAGGGCTGAGAACATGTAGGCAAAAACTAAACAGCAATATCCACCAAACAGAGAGGGGATACAGGGGCATAAACTGATGGCAGGCAATCTGACATAAATAAAAAACCAAACATTTGTTATCTGAGCTGACAGGTACACTATCTACAGCAGAATTACGGTACTTATTGAGCAAGAGAGGGAAAACTAAGAAAGGAAAAGCAGTGATGTGTGCCAGTGCAACACTAATTTTCCTCTAGTTCTTGGGGACAAAATTTTGAAATATAACATATTTACACTCTTTTAAAAATAAATCGGTTGTTAGATTTATAACCAAATAACTCAGAAAGCTAAAACAAAAGCAAAAACAAAAAGACCACAGAATATGTCTTCAAAAAATCCACCAACCTATAAAACCAGCACTTTCCTACTTGAATGAAAATTCTAATTGCAAGATTCACTCATATTGAACTATTAAAGGGTGTTTAAGAATTTCGAGATCATCAAGTTATAGGTGCCACATAAAGATGTAAACAAGGTCTGGATGTTTTAGGGATAAAGAAAAAAAAGATTTCTTATTGTGACAATTTAAATCAGACAAATGTTTTCTAAATTCATCTCTTTTAACTGTACGCACACTGTTTTACAAGCAGCTACCTGTTTTCTGTCACTTAATGTCTAAAAAGTGGCACTGTGGCCAGGCTGGTGTGGCTCAGTGATGGAGCCTCGACCTATGAACCAAGAAATCACGGCTCAATTCCCAGTCACATGCCTGGGTTGTGGGCTCAATCCCTAGTGGGGTGTGCAGGAGGCAGCCAGTCAATGATTCTGTCTCATCATTGATGTTTCTCTCTCTCTCCCTCTCCCTTCCTCTTTGAAATCAATAAACATATATATATATATTTTAAGTGGCATTGTGGGACAGGAGTGAGAGGAAGACTTCCCCGAGTACTGTGAAGTCTTAAAGGTTGTTTTTTTTTAAAATGTAGATCATATATTAAATAAACAAAAAATCTTTGTCTTTAAAGGAAAGCAGAAATAGCAATTTCATTTTCTGATTTTTTTGAAATATATTTCATTGATTTTTTACAGAGAGGAAGGGAGAGGGATAGAGAGTTAGAAACATTGATGAGAGAGAAACATTGATCAGCTGCCTCCTGCACACTCCCCACTGGGTGTGTGCCCACAACCAAGGTATATGCCCTTGACCGGAATCGAACCTGGGACCCTTGAGTCCGCAGGCCGAAGCTCTATCCACTGAGCCAAATCGGTTAGGGCCATTTTCTGATTTTTCAATAGCTGTCTTTGGTGAGGACTATGTCTAGCAAATGATCTGCAAAGAACATTATCACAGACTGATAACCTTTACTTTTAAAAAGAAAAATTATACCGAAGTACACACAGGCTTTACCTTAATTAGATTACAAATTATAATATAACCAGACTTTCCATGATACCATGGTCTTGCATGAAGACAGTCTGAGTATTTGGAAATGTATACACCTATAAGAGCATAAAATATAGATTAATTTACACTTTTAAAATATTGTTTACACATATACAATTCCAATGTAGGTCTACCCGTAGCTGAACAAGACAAAAGATAAATAAAAGTCAACATTAAAAACTGTTTGAAACTGCTTACTTAAAAAAACACCTTTTTAAGTTATTCTAAAGGTATAGAAACATTAGAGCTAAGTAAGACAAAACATATGTAATTGATAACCAATTTTCAATTAGGGTCCCAATAATGAAAAACAAAGTGTCACACATTTTTGGAAAATTCTAAGTTTGTTTTTTCTCCATGTAATCATCCAGTAAAATGATCTATGGTAATCTGATTCTCAAGTTATTTTCTTAGTAAGTATAGTAACCCCACCTTATCTACAGAGGATACTTTCCAAGACTCCCAGTGGATGCCTGAAACCGTGTGCAGTACTGTACCTATATACTGTTTTTTCCTGTACATTTATACTTACTAGAGGCCCGGTGCAGGGATTTGTGCACCGGTGGGGTCCCTCGGCCTGTCCTACACCCTCTTGGAATCAGGGACCCCTTGGGGGATGTTAAGACTGCCTGTTTCGGCCTGGTCTGCGGGGATTGGGCTGAAACTGGCATTTGGACATTCCCTGAGTAGTAGTGCACGAACGGCAGAAGCCGGGGAGTAGTCCAAGTGTGGGCTGGGCATTGCGCTGCTCCTGCTCATCCCCACCCCGCTGCTGCACCTGCCACTACCACCACCGCTACTCAGTAGCACTGCCTCGAAGGTGGAAGATGCTTGCGCTGTGGCAGCTGACTTGCCAGCCGTGAGCCATGCGTCTGGCACCTGCCAGTCAGCTGAGCGGTGCTCCTGCTGTGGGGCGCACTGACCACCAGGGGGAAGCTCCTGCATTGAGCATCTGTCCCCTAGTACTCAGTGTGCGTCATAGCGACTGGTCAACTGGTCGTTCGGGTGTTTGGTCATTTCACTTAGACTTTTATATACATAGATGATAAAGTTTAATGTACAAATTACGCACAGGTAAGAGATGAACAACAATAACTTATAATACAATAGAACAATGATAACAATCCTATCTAATAAAGAGGGAATATACAAATGCTACATGGTGTTGGGCCAGGGCAGGGGACCTCAGGTCGCACCCTCAACCCCGGTGCCGGGGTATCTGAGGCTGTGCCCCCCACCAGGCGATGCTTGACGAGGGATCTCAGACTGCGCCCCCTGCCTGGCGGGGCCTGATGGGGGATATCAGGCCATGTCCCCTGCCCAGCAGGGCTTAACGGGGGACCTTAGGCCACTCCCCCTGTCCTGGCACCAGGCCAGGGAACCTAGGTCTGTGCACTGAGCCCCAGCGCCAGGCCAGGGGACCTGATGGTGCACTGGACAACCTGAAGCTGCACCGCCCCTGCCCAGTGGGGCTTGACGAGGGACCTGAGGCTGCACCCCTCCCCCCAGTACTGGGTGGGGGGACCTCAGGCAGCCCTGCCCGGCGCCAGGCCAGGGGACCTGAGGCTGCGCCCCCTGCCTGGTGGGGCTTAACAAAGGTGGGGCCAGCCGGGTCTGGATTTCGCCCAATGGGGGTGGGGTCAGCTGGGTCTCACGTGATTTTGAGGTGCCATGGGTGGGCAGGGACTTGACTCTGGGTCCCACGGCGCACCCCAGACTCTGACAGGAGGAAAATTTTCATATACACTTTACTAATTTTCTTTCATCTTTGACACATCTATTATAGAGAAAGGGCAAATAGCAATATTAAAATATTTCCTCTAATCCCCTTTTAATGTGCACGAATTTCATGCACTGAACCACTAGTTTATTATAATAAAGATTATGTAAATGTGGTCTTTCTGCTCTCCAAATATCTTCTTGCACAACCACACCTTGTTTTATTGCTCTTTGCTTCATTATGCTTCACAGATATTGTACTTTTTACAAATTGAAGGTTTGTGGCAACCCTCCATTGAACAAAATCTTTTTTTTAAAGTGTGTTATTATTTATTTATTTACTTATTTATTTATTTTTAATTTCAGAGAGGAAGGGGGAGGAAAGAATAGAAACATCAATGATAGGAGAGAATCACTGATTGGCTGTCTCCTGCACACCCCACGCTGGGGATAGAGTCCACAATCTGGGCATGTGCCTTGACTGGGTATTGAACCATGACCTCCTGGTTCATAGGTTAATGCTCAATCACTGAGCCATGCAGGCTGGGCCAACATCTTAAAAAAATAAAAAAAAATGTTTTTATTGATTTCAGAAAGAGGAAGGGAGAGGGACAAAGATAGAAACATAAATAATGAGAATCATTGATCAGCTGTCTCCTGCATGCCCCCTACTGAGGATCAAGCCTGCAACTTGCACAGGATCAAACCATGACCTCCTGGTTCATGGGTCAATGCTCAAGCACTAAGCACTAGCTGGGCTGAACAAAATCTTTTGATGCCACTTTCCCAACAGCACATGCTCTCCTGGGGTCTCTGTGTCACACTTTGGCTAATTCTTACAAAACTAAGTGAGGCAAAAGGAGGTTTACAGTTATACATGAATGCACACAGAGTTTGTTCTTGTATTATTATATTATTTTCTATATAAACAACTGTAAACCTACTTTTATCCCACCCTATATTTCAAACTTTATTATTACATTTGTTGTTTATTTGTGATCAGTGATATTTGATATTACTATTGCAATTGTGTTAGGGCACCATACACCATGCCCATATAACACAGTGAACTTGATAAATGTGTGTGTTCTGACTGCTCCACTAGCCAGACATTCCCCATTATTCTCCCTCTCTCCTCAGGCCTCCCTGTTCCCTGACACAACAATATTGAAATTAGGACAATAATCCCATAATGGCTTCTAAGTTTTCATATGAAAGGAAGAGTCACACATTTCTCACTTTAAATCAAAAGCTAGAAATGATTAAGTTGAGGAGGCATGTCAAAAGCAAAGATAGGCCTCTCACACCAAACAATTTGCCAAGTTGTGAATTCATGAGAAAAGTTATTGAAGAAAATTAAAAATGAAACTCCAGCCTGGTTAGCATGGCTCAGTAGATTGAATGTCATCCCATGCACCAAAAGGATGCTGGTTTGATTCCCGGTCAGGGCACATGGCTGGGTTGCAGGTTCGATCCCCAGCAGGGGGCATGCAAGAGGCAACCTATCAATGTTTCTCTATCATGGATGTATCTATTTTCTCTCCCTCCCCCTCCTCCCCCCTAAAAAAACAAACGAACACAAGAAACAGAAAAAACCAACAATCAAAATGTAAATTATATATATACTAGAGGCCTGTTGCATGAAGAGATTCGTGCAATAGGCCTTCCCTTCCCTTGGCTGCTGGCACCGGTTTGCCTCTGGCACCTGGGACCCGGAGCCATCAGGTTTCGCTCCACAGGCCCCGGGGCTGTCAGGCTTCACTCCACCGCTTGGAGCCTACGTATGCAAATTAACCATCTTTGTTGGGTTAATTTGCATAATCCCAATTGGCTGGTTAGCGTAGCGAAGGTACGGTCAATTTACATGTTTGTCTATTAGGTAAGATACACACACACATACACTATACTCCAGTGAACACACAAAAGATAAGAAAGTGAATTAGCCTTATTGATGATATAGAGAAAGTTTTGGTAGTCTAGGTAGAAGATCAAACCAGTCACAACGTTCCCGTAAGCCAAAGCAAGACCCTAACTTTCAATTCTATGAAGGTTGAGAGAGATGAGGAGGCTGCAGAAAAGTTGGGCTAGCAGAGGTTGGTTCATGTGTTTTAAGAAACTGTTTCCTTAACATAAAAGTGTAAGGTGAGCCCTAGTTGGTTTCCTCAGTGGTTAGAGCGTGTGGCCTGAAGGGCCTTGGTTTGATTCAGGTTAACGGCACATACCTTAGTCGCAGGCTCAATCCTCAGCCCCAGAACAGGGCACGTTCAGGAGGGAAGCAATTGATGTGTCTCTCTCACATCAATGTTTCTCTCTCTCTGTCTCTCCCTCTCCCTTTCATTCTAAAAATCAATGGGAAAAAATACCCCTGGTGATAACAAAAACAACTAAAAGTGCAAGATGAAGCAGGAAGCACTGATGAAGAAGTTGCAGCAAGTTGTACAGAAGATCTAGCAAAGATAATTAACAATGGTGGATACACTAAATAACAGATTTTTAATGTAGATGAAACAGCCTTATATTGGAGAAAGATGCCATCTAGGACTTTCATAGCAAGAGAATAGAAGGCAATGCTTGGCTTCAAAACTTCAACGGACAGGTTGATTGTCTTGCTAGGGGTTAATGCAGCTGGTGACTTTAAGTTGAAGCCAAAGCTTGTTTATCATTCTGAAAATCATAGTGCCCTTAAGAATTATGCTAAATCTACTCTTCCTGTGCTCTATAACTGGAACAACAATGCCTGGAAAACAGTTTAAAACATGTTTTACTGAGTATTTTAAGCTCACTATTGAGACATACTGCTCAGAAAAAAAGATTCCTTTCCAAATATCACTGCTATTGACAATATACCTGGTCACCAAAAGCTCTGATGGAAACGTACCATGAGATTATTACTATGTTCATGCCTGCTAACACAACACCCATTCTGCAGATCATGGACCAAGGAGTAATTTCAACTTTCAAATCTTCTTAACAAATATATTTTGTAGCTTTGTAAGTTATGTAGTGGAGCTGAGTTGTCCAATAGAACTTTTTGAAAAGATGCAGGGGAAAAAGAAATACATTTGTAAGGCTATAGCTGCCATAAATAGTGATTCCTTTTGATAGATCTGGGCAAAATAAATTAATAGCCTCTGGAAAGGATTCACCATTCTAGATGCCATTAAAAACTTCTACGGTACATGTCCAAAAGTCAGAATATCAACATTAATAGGAGTTTGAAAGAATTTTATTGGAATCCTCTTGGATGACTTGAGTTCAAGACTTCAGTGGAGGAAGTAACTGCAGATGTGAAAACAGCTAGTGAACTAGAATAGAAATAGAACCTGAATCGCTGCAA